ACAATGCCCAGCTGTTTTTTTGTTGCAGTTGTCATTGTTTTAGCAGGCCTGGGCCAGGCTTGAACACTCTAGCCCTTGTGTATGTGGCTGGTGTCCTAGCTGCTGAGCTACAGGCACTGAGCCTTGTTCTCTCTCTGTGTGCTAAAATTGGTTATTGGGTTCAAGTGTCGTTCTAACCCTTCATAATAAAGATCCCATCAGTCTCTCACCTATAAGGTTTTTGGCAGCCATTGGTGATCAGTAAATGTAATGATATTTTTTAGGCTGCATTTGTCATCTGTAATAATTCTGTAATGAATCTCTTTTGATCATCAATCTTTTCATAAATATCACTTCTTAAAGATCATCTTTTTGAAGTATTAATATGATCCTATCTCTTCTCCAAACTTAAAATCCTTAAATGGTAATCCATTAATTATAATAAAAATACATACAGAGCTGGGTCTGATGCAGTACACGATCAGATCCAGCCCACTTCTTTGAAACTTAGATGATAACCACCTTCCAATCATTAGGCAGTTACTTCTCTTACACAGAGCTCTCTGCTGTGGTCCGAATTCATTGTTTTCCTACTTCCTTACCTTTATTCAAGCTAATTTATTGGAAAATCATTTCCTACATGTATACATTCTGTATCAAACTTCTTAGAATTTAAGCTTTGCCAACTCTTAAGTAGCATGACCTGCTGCTACTCTCAGGTAGAATTTGCTTGTCCCTAATTTGTACTCCTCAGTAGTGTACTCTGCATCTTTTTCTATTATGTTCCCTTTCTAATCTCCTAGTTGAGCTTATATATTTACTTCTTTTCCTAGTCTCTAAGCTGCTGGAAGAGCAGAAGCTTATGTAATTCTACCTGGCATATCCAGGACCCCAGCACAGCCACAACCTGGCAGGTAGTTGTTTAACCCTTTCCAATCCAATTTTTCTGCCACTCACATACTCCCCAGCTTTTATTTATTTTGGGCGGGAAAGAGGTTGGTGCATTACTTGTGATTATCTTACAATTTTAAAAGAGAAAAGCATAAATATGAACTCACCTGATTATTTTATTATCTATTTTAGGTTACATAAAGTAATTAAAGTATTTTTGTTTATAAACAACAAAAAAAATCATGTTGGATGAGGTCTGGCATAGGATCAGGAAGGATTAATGAACATCACGTTGGTTATTTCTAAATCAGATAGAGGACTTTGAGAGAACTTATTCTGGCCTCATTTTTGAAAAAGAATGACTGAATGAATGTGTGGTATATGATGGACAGCAGGATATTTCTGTGAATTTTTCTGAAACAGGTATTTAATGGGAAGCCTATATGATGCAGCCGGGTGAAAAATCATCAAAAGCATACCTCAAAATGTAACTTCCCCATTCACCAAGGATGAGTAATTCACAGTGAGCTGAGGTATATTTTTGCAGAATTCCGTGTCATTTGAGGATGTGGCTGTGGACTTTAGCAGGGAGGAGTGGCAGCAATTGGACCCTGCCCAGAGACACCTGTACCAGGATGTGATGCTGGAGATCTACAACCACCTCTTCTCAGTGGGTGAGCACAGCTGACCTGGGAATCTTGAATGGGCCTCATTGAGATTTCCTTCCTCCTCCTTGCAGAACATATTGGGATATCAGAAGTACGTCATGGTTTTTCCCTTGGTTTGTCCTGAATTGTTCATTTCTTTTGGGCACCTTTGACAGTTTGTGCCAAATGGAAAATGTTGACTTTTCTGATGCACCAAAGCAGAGCTTCATTGTATGGCTTCTAAAACCCAAATCCAATATCCTTTCCATTTAACAGGGTGTCATATTCCCAGCCCAGAAGTCATCTTCAGAATAGTAAAAGGACAGGAACTATGGATGGAGCGGGCTGAACTCCCACCTCAGAAGGATCATGGTGAGTGACTTATACTCAAGTAGACATGGATATCTTTGGGGATATCGTTATCAGCCTACCACACTTGTCCATTCTCTGTTTTCCCTCACTGGTGGACACTTAGGTCACCTTCTATTCCCAGGTTCCACAACAAATGCAATAAATTTTCTTATAAATGTCCTCTAGGGGCTGGTGTAATTATTTTCAGAAGTAAGTACAATAGTATCTCTGTAAGTTAACCACCCAAGGGATTGTAACAAACTGGTCAACATATGGAGGTGACCAACATAAGGAACCAGGCCTACTATACTGATACATACATGTGGTGCATGTCTGGTCTATGAAAATTAGGTCAGCTTAAGGAAGTGGTCAATATGGAGGTTCCATTCTGTATCAAAAATGGGAAGCTTGGCTCGGCGCCTATAGCTCAATCGGCTAAGGCGCCAGCCACGTATACCTAAGGTGGCGGGTTCGAATCCCCAGCCTGGACCCGCCAAACAACAATGACGGCTGCAACCAAAAAATAGCCGGGCGCTGTGGCAGGTGCCTGTGGTCCCAGCTACTTGGGAGGCGGAGGCAGGAGACTCGCTTGAGCCCAGGAGTTGGAGGTTGCTGTGAGCTGTAATGTCACAGCACTCTACCAAGGGGGACAGCTTGAGGCTCTGTCTCAAAAAAAAAAAAAAGGGAAGCTTAGAGGTGACTGCTTATGAAGTTCAGAGAGAATAATGTCACCTCTAGGGACACTGGAGTGACATTAGGACTTAATTTTAAGGGTACAATGCCTTTACCTGGTCCACAAAGCCATTTTGAAGGGGAACAAAGAAGCAGACAAAGCAAGCTTCATGGAAGTAGAGGACATGGCTTGCTTAGATTTGGGAATAAATTGGACTTGTTTTGCATCAACATTGTTAGGCTGCATCGGAGAGTTATAGAAAAGCTTTTCAGCACAGTCTGATAGTTTGCACTAAATATTTTTGGCAGTAATTTAAATATTATCAGATCCTAAGAGTTTTCTGACCTAAGTTAAGTAAAAAGTTACAAATATTCTAAATCTATGGCTGGGGACACAGAGTATAAGATACCCAGAACAAATGAAAGCTAGGGTATGGGTAAAATTGCTATTCCAAAGTAAAAACTGAAACAGAAAACAAATAACCTGATTACAAAATGAGAAAACGACTTTAATAGACATTTCTTCAAAGATGATATACAAATGGCCAACAAATCAGTGTTCACCACCACTAATCCCATGGAAAATGCAAATCAAAACCACAGTGCGATATCACATACCACCCATTAGAATGGTTACTATTAAAAAAACTGAGTAACAATTGTTGACAAGGGCTCAGCGCCTGTGGCTCAAGTGGCTAAAGCTCCAGCCACATACACCTAAGGTAGCGGGTTCAAATCCAGCCCAGGCCCGCCGAACAACAATGACGGCTGCAACCAAAAAATAGCCAGGCATTTTGGTGGGCGCCTGTTGTCCCAGCTACTTGGGAGGCTAAGGCAGGAGACTTGCTTGAGCCCAGGAGTTGGAGGTTGCTGTGAGCTATGATGTCACAGTACTCTACCCTGGGGGATAGCTTGAGGCTCTGTCTCAAAACAAAACAAACAAACAAACAAAAACAAATGTTGACAAGGATGTGCAAAAACAGGAACTATAACTGGTAAGAATGTAAAATGGTGTAGCTACTGTGAAAAACTATACAGTGACTTCTCAAAAAAATAAAATTACTGTATGGTTCAACAGTTCCATTTCTGGGTAGATACTCAAAAGATTTGAAAGCAGAGACTCAGAACAGGTAATTATACACCCATGTTTATAGCCCCATTTTTCGCAATAGCCAAGATATGGAATTGTCCATCAATGGATGAATTGATAAAACATATATACATATAATGGAATATTATTCAGCCTTAAAAAGAAGGAAATTGTAACATATTCTACAACATAAGTAAATCTTTTTTTTTTTTTTTTTT